CAATTCCAGCACGTACTGGGACTGGGAACTGCTGGGATATGAGGATTTGGAGGCTAACGGGCAATGGAGCCAACCAGTAGCCTGGCGAACCTGAGGCCACAGGAGCACAGAGTTGGGTCAGGTCCTCCAAAGGAAGGGCAGAATCCTGTGGGGAAGGAGATATTGTGGGGAATGATCTTCTGCACACCCATGACCAGTGTGGCTGTGCCGTGCAATGCCCCTTGCATGATAGTTGCTCTTGGACCGTGTTGCTTGGATGAGAAGATGTCTTGCTTGGTGGGAGACCTGCGGAGACAGCACATCATGGCATTGCTTCCTGATTGAGATCATGGTAGCAGTTCCTACTGCTGCTGACCAGCTTGTATCCTGCTTGGGCTCCACTTGGGCCTACACCTAGTCCTGTAGGGTTGAGTCCTGCTTCACTCTGCCCTACCTACACGGCCAGTGCCATATGGCTTCACACTTTTCAGCTTGTTTGTTGACAGACCCGGGTGTCTAAACTCTCAGCAGGTGCTGTGCAAACACAGGCACCACCTCAGGGTAGTTTGTTACAACCATTTTCTTTTCAAAATAATTTCTGAGTCTTTTTCTGTGGCTTCTTCATTCATGTTCTGCCGAAGGCTTGAAGGCAGTAAAGATGACATGAAGAAATGGCACATGATAGTGCCTGATTTAGAGGGCACTGAGTGACACCTCCAGATGGTTTTGCCAGTAGTGTCTGTCGGGATTATCTTGTGCCCAGCTTCCCTCCAGCTTTCTGGAAAAGAAAGCCAAGGAGTGAATTTAGGATTCCTCTGACCAGTGAGACAAAACTTCAATAGCAACAGGGATAAAGTCTGTTCTCATGGTAAAATTACCTACACCCTGGCATGTCTAGGAAGGAGAACTGAAAATGCAGTGGGCCCTGAAGATGATCTGTAGGTCTATCTTCCCTTGCTACATCCATGGCTGGCGTGGGCTGTTCTCCAAGTGCAGGGTGTCACAGGAACGCATACTGGAAGGAGAAGGGAAGTTTTTTTTGGAGTAACTCCGATGGAGAGCCCTAGGGCACTTCATTTGTGCATGTGAATTTTCCTTGTACCAAAGGAAAGCAAGTGAGATGGAGTCAATGAGAGATGAGAAGTGCAAAGCCAATACTGATGGAGATGACAAGGTAGCATGTTAGAGATGATGGGGACCTACGATGATGATGAGCTAAGACCGACAGCCGTGGGAAGGAGCAAGTAAAGAGATTTTTATATTTATTAGCTAGCTTTTTATGCCTGCAAATTAGAGGCTGGGTCTGAGTTATGTGCGAGAGGAATGGGAGATGTGCAGGAAACATCGTATCTGTCTGAACTGCCCCATGTCAAAAACAGTGCATAAGGGACCTAAAATCTGAGGATTTTCCTTTTTAGACTGCATTTAATAAGCTCTTCCTTTTAATAATCTCTTCCTTTGTGTTTTTGGCTAGCATCGTGTCACCTTCAGCCTCTTACGTCGTTGTTTCCCATCCGCTGTTTTACGGGCTGCTAGTGTGGCTTGTGGTCCTAATTTGATTTCCAGCAGATACACATTTCTTCAGACTGAGGAAAATCAGAGTACAACAGTACACATTATTTGCTTGATGCCGCAGATTGCAGGCCAGTCAGTGTGCTACTGTTAGCTGAATGGCTGGGGAGTCTGTCTGAAGTGTAAATTAGCAGCAATTAATAAGAAGAGAAAAATTAATACCCTATGTCAGCTTTCTGTGCTACTTAGTTATATCAACACTAAGGCTCAGAGCTATTCTGCTGCTTATGTTTGCATAAGAGTTTGGTCTGGCTTTCACATTATATTGGGAAGCTGCTTAAATATTCTCCCCATATATGCAGTAAACTGGAGTTATTCCCCAAATTGAGAGACGAACTGTAGCCTCTGATCTAGTTTCTTTGGGATGTGGGTGCCATCAGCATGACATTCCAGAAACAAGGCATTGTCCATAGTGACTTCAGGAAAAAAAAGAGCTTTAAAATCCTATTAAAATTCCAGTGCTTTTTATTTACTTGTTGATGATGCTGTTGACTTGGGATGTAAGAAATTTGGCATTTTCCACAACTAGAAGGGCTCGAGCTCAACCCTAAATGCTGCTGCTGAGAACTGACTTCTGCTGCATTTTGTTCCTGGAGTGGACACGAGGACCTCGAGCATGTTTGTTCTTGTTTTTCCATAGGGTTTCTAGGATCTAATGTGAAGTTCACTGGGGCATGAGCCCTTTTTCCTGGGTCTAGTGGCAGATATGGGGGATTCCTGTAGGGGCAGCTACTTCTTTTTAACTGTATAAATTCTGTGGTGGTCTGAACAGACCTCTTGAGCTTTTTATCGGTTCATAATTTTGTTCTAAAAGGAGCATCACGAGGTTTAACCATGCTACCAAGCAGCTCATCTTTCTTCTTGGTGTTTGTATTGTTACCCCTGAGTTCTGCCTGACATGATTGATTTGGTGCATTTCAGTTGATCTCTCTCTCTGTCTCTCTTTTAATATACCGAGATTACCTTCCAGCACTGTCTGGTCCTAGGCAAAAATAAAAATAGCTGAATCCACCCAAGATTTGGCCTCAGCTAACACCTCCCCTCCTGTCTCTTCCAACAAGCTTGTTATAAAATCCTGATACTTAACCAATTCATTATTAATGGTATTTACGGAAGTATTCTCTACTGTAGGATAAGTGTATTTTGACTTTCAGTAGACCGATTGCTTCTAGTTTCATAACTAATTGAAAAGTTAATATACACTGGGGATGAGTGATATATATGTTCGGAGGTTAGCTGTGCTCAAAATACTCATAGTATATAATATACTTAATTCATTAGCAAGTCTCCTGTCAACAAAGAATAGAGATGAAGTGCTGTAGTTGCCATCACAGTGGGAAAGTGATCATTATTATTTATGAAGTGCTCAGAGTATACTAAGCACTTTGTAAAGAGGCCAACAAACATATTGCAAACACAGGTTTACAGTCTCTCTTGTTATTTGTTTTTTCAGATGTTTTTCCTTCCGTTGCTAGGTTCCCTTGAGATGAACAGAAATTACTGATGGGGGTCTAACTTTGACCCAACAGCCATCGGTTGAGGGTAGTATCGTCCTCCTTGGCATCTCCCTTTTGTTGGTGGTGCTTTGTGAGGCCCATAGTTTTAACATGGATTAATTGTGATCACTGAAATGTTGCTGTGATAGCTCCAGCAGACAGTCCCACCACAGTTCAGTTAATGAACAGCATCGTTAGAGTTTTCATGCTCCTCATCTCTTTCGGTCTCTGCTGTAACTGCTCACGCATGTCCATTTTTCTTGCATTTTTCCTTCGCAAGGTCTTAAAAACTGGGAACGAGAAACCTGCGACGAAGCACTCTCCCTCTTTCTAGTTTATAACCACCATATCTTGCCTTACTGAATATGTTTTCTGAGTAGTAAAAGTTGGAAGAAATCCCATAATATTTTTACAGTCTTACTATCTCCTGCTTTGCCTGGCCTCCATCGATTTTATTTTTTTTCTACTTTCAGCCACGTTTATTGCAGAGCATTTGGTGTCGGCGCTGCTAGTGTAGTCCTTTAGGTCCTGCTAGCCTTGGAGGGATCCAGTGATAAGTTAGACCTGAATGTGTCCTCCACATCCAATACTCTGCACACGCATCTTCCCAAATGTCAGTCTTTGCTTTAGCACATCTTGTGCCAGTAGGTGGTTCCTTCTGTGCCCATAACCCAGACTCTTGGTTTCTCTTTCTCAACTTGCATTTGCTACCTCGTAATTAACGACCAGCTTAGCAAGTTTTACAGAAAAGCTCACTTTAGAGTTCTTTGTTTAACAGCTCCTAAAGTGCGTCTCTGGGTATTGTTTGCCTGGTGGATTTCTTTTCCTAGAAATATATTCCTCATTTTAGCCTGGCATCTGACTCCAGATCTCCTTAGTATATATTCCCTTTCTTGTTTCATTTCTCATCTTTGCACGTTTTCATTCCACAGTACTTTTTACTATGCTCATGGTTTCTAGAAGAATCTCCCCTGCAAGTATAACCCAGTATATGCATGAGTTAATATTTCTATTTCATTAAGGTATGTTGCATGCTGAACTCTATTTTCTAGAGTTTTTGCAGTCTCTCCAAGTGTTCTCCTTTCAGTGCTCCCTCTGCTACTTAGTCACCAGTCTCCTTCAGAAAGTGCATTATTGCAATTGAAGTATATCTCATGCTGTGTTATCCGTCAAAAAGTTTGATGTCAGAAGCAAAACTTGTAGGATGGTTGAGTTGGCCTGTCTTGATTGTCTATGTTGGCATGGGTTATGCCTTATGAGCTTGTCGTGGAATATTGTTCATGATATTAACTCAGCATCTTTTCTATTGTTGTTGCTATTGCAATTACATTATTGCAGCTGTTACTACTTTCTGATTTTATTCCTGTGACTCATGGAGGCCTCTGTCCTTGGGTTTATGGTGGTCTATCGTCTGCTCTTGGTACCCAATCTGTTTGGATCAAAACCAGCAATGAGCACGTCTTGCATTGCTCTACATGCTGATTTGGTGCCCTCAGTGGGAAGCTGGCAGGAGACAGTGCCAAGGCATAGACCGTGGGTGGGAATTAGCTTAAAAGAACCTGTCTCTCAAACTCGCCTTTAACCATCTTGTTTTTCCCTGGTATCGGTCTTATATAGTCAGATACATGTGGTATAAAAGTTTGGGATAAAATAAGAAATACAGTGCTGAGAACCTGAAATCTACTTGCTAAGTTTTCTTTGGTTGCTGCAAATTCTTAAACGGGCTTCCAGCAAGGGAAGAGGTCCTATGTCTTGTATCTTCATCCAGCTGTATCTCACATCAGAGGAAGGGTTGGTGAACGTTTTGAGTTGTTCTGCGCTGTACAAAGAGCAGGACCAAAGCCATATGACTATTATGATCAAAAAACAGGAAAACTTGAACCCTGTTAGGAATGGCTGAGGCAATGGGTTAGTGTGGGTGGAAGAGCTCACTGTGTTTTCTTTTCCATTTAGCTTGTCCTCTAGGAGGTCCCTGCTGCAGGATGAATTAGGAAGGGAAGGACTCATCCTTCGAACGATGGAGACAAGGGCGTCTTTCATCGCCAGCATGCAGGAGACCCAGCAGCTCTCCCCCCAGAAGGGCCAGAGCCCAGCCAACGGCGACAGGGAGCAGTTTGATTCAGGTGGGTTCTCCTCTACCCCTGTGGTCACCTCAGGGGTTACAGCACAGCACTTGGACAGACATCTGTAGTGTGGAGACAACCAATTCACTAGGGGAACATGGATGGTGGCTATGTGTCTTATGGACTTTCTTGGGTCATATGGACTGTACTGTGTCTTGCATCATGTGGGTCTGTGGTTGCTGGGCCAAGAAATCTGAGCTTTTCTCCCTTTGGATATCTTCTTCAGGAAATGTTAACTGCTAAAAATTTAAATGAAGAATAATGGAAAATCTTAAGAGATCATAATGTGTTCTTTCTGATCCCCCTCCCTGCTTCATTTGCTTTTTCTTTCTTTTTTTTTTTGACTTTTTTGGTTAAAAAGAAGAATTGAATATTCAGAAATTACAATATTCCCCCTGCCATTTTGATCCTTCATCATCATTTTCTGTAGATTTTTTTTCCTTCTATTGGGTGTTTCAGATGAGGAGACTTCAGACATTAGCCCAACCAGGAGAGCTGGTTGTCTGTGTGCTCCTGGATATAACTGAACACTTCAAAGCTCTGAGGTAGGGACCTAAAGGCTTCAGCTGATTAAGTTTTGGCATCTTCATAGTAAATGTAGAGGAGTTGCCAAAGCTTCCATCTGGGGGCAGTGGAGAGAAATAGACCGTGAGGTTCCTCTCATCCTAATACTCAGCTCGAAAATGGAGCAGGCAAATCTCAGTGTAAAAATAACAGTTTCTCTCCACTGACTGACCCGTGGGCAGCTGCCCTGGATGCAAACATCCATGTTTTACTTATCTAATGCAAAATCGATGGATCCTGTCCCATGGGATTCCTTCTTCGGTATGATGTTTGCCTCTGGGCCTACTGGGGCTTTCCTGAAAAGCGCAGGGTAGGGTTGGCCGTTGCTTGTGTTGTCTTCTTAAGGTATCAGTCTGGCTCTAAATGATGGAGGAAAAATCACAGGCTATAGGTGGCCTGCTCTTATGTAAAAACAAGGTATCTGATTATTATTATTTATTTATTTATTTATTTATTTGGAGTGGTGTAATACTGGTTGGTGGCAGTCTGGCACTTAGGATGCCTGGGTTGAATACCCACTCCTTACGTTTACTCTCTAGCATGGACTCAGTGACCGTTTTTCTTTTTGTGTGTTTTCTTCTGTTTGTGAGGCTTCTTTGCAAAGAAGTTCAGTGAATAAAGATACGTAAGTCCTTAGGCATATAGATCTCTTCGCAAATCTGTGCCAAATTTTTGTGGAAACCAAAGGGATTTAAGTACAGAAATCCTCCTTGGGTCCTGGGTGCTAGTTGTGTCTTCAGTGAAATTGCACATTTTGGTTAGAGCTAACTTTCTGGCAGGGGTCTTCGTGATGCCAAAATGGGGACCTGCTCTTTCTGCTGTCTCTTCTCTTGCTCCATCTCTGCTGCTCATCAGACCTTGTGCTGACTCTGTCCAACAGCGAGCTAATCAAGGGGAAAAAAAAAGAGTGATTTTCTGACTTTTTTTGAGTTGATAGGGCTGAGCATAGGGTCCTATGAGCTCAGCTGATGCACTTTGGGAGAAGAAGATTGAGCAGTTGGTGCCGAACCATTACTCTGTGCAAAAAGTTTCATCTCCGCACAGTGATGCTTGACTTGGTGTTCATATGCTTGAACTTTTCTTCCAGAAATCTTTTAATTTCTGTAAAAGAGATTCTTAACAAAAAGATTTTGAGTTGTAGGTGGCAGATGAAAAATTTTTGCTTGCAGATAGGTCTGCTGTCCTGGAGAACAGTGGAGACTTTTGCAAGCTTGGGAACCTGAACAGCTTTCAGAGATGGCCCGAATGGTTGCATTTTCCTTCTGAGAACATCTGTTGGAGGAAACCCCTACCTGCAGTTTATAAAAAGCATTCGGGACTGTCTGCAGTCTACATCCATGGAAATTGGTGCCCTTGCTACTATCAGATGCTATTAAATGTGCTTCAGATGTGATGGTGGCAGTGTTGCAAAGTCTCTGTCTCCTTTAAAACTCTTCTATTTTGCCTTAAGAGTGTTTTGCATCTTTTCTCCTGGCTAGAGCTGTTGGTGCTTTACTGTTCATTGTGGTGAAGTCCTTCGCTGGCTCTTTGTTCTGTTCCTGGATGTTCCTCGCTCGGCGTCCCAGGATTTTGGCTGCTCACCTTTCAGTTTCTTCATTTTTGGTGGCCATTCAGGGACTGGGTGATTTTTTCTGTTTTCTTGGGCAATGGGGATCTTTCTAATTAGAAAGATATGAAAAGTGTTTGGCTCTCTTCCATGTTCACTAATGAGTTGGGGAGGAAGAAGAAGGAAAAGAAGGGGAGGGAAAAAAAGAAAAGGCTATATGGGACCATGTCATAACTGGACCTCAGTCTCTGGTCCGGGCAGTGACCTTGCCTGTAAGCTCTTCAGAGTGAGAATGGGCTGTTTTGTACTGCCCCTTGAGCAGTGGAAGTGGACTGTTTTATGTTCCTTTAGATAAGAATGTAAATACTGCCCTGAATTCCCTTTGCCTGAAAGAGAAAGAGCCCCTTCCAAAGAGTGACTAAGAGGGATGGCAACCAAGGGTCATCTTAAGTTAAAAGTATAAATTTGGAGCTGTGACATCTTAAAATGCCTTAAAAACAAAGGCAAAACCAAAAACAAATTAACTTTTTTTTTTTTTTTAATCTGATGCTGCTTAGATTACCAGGGAAAAGAGATGCACCTCCAAAGAGAATCTCCTTGTTTTAACAAGGATACCACTACATTGCCTTTGCGTTGAAGTGCCTTCTGGAGTTGCCTGCTTCTCCCCAGTGAGCTCAAAGCAAGCTAAACCTGGTGGGAGGAGAGGGGAGCACCTAAGTCCTGGTTGCCTTCAAGAGACAGCCCCATCTTATTAGATGAGACTCATGCCCCCCAGTTCAGACATGCCCTAGTAGACCCAAGACCTGATCCCATTTCTGCTGGATCCATTTATATTCACGGATATTAGGTTTGTTTTGCTGGCAGATGACATCTGTTCTGCAAAAACAGGATCTAGCCTGTGGTGCTTATGTTTCTTTGATGGGATAGACCTTGGTGACCCTCCCAAGGCCATGCAGGAGGTTTGTGCTTGATCAGGGTTCCCCTGCCAAGTCCTTGCTTAGTGTTCTAGCCACCAAACCACCATCATATTTCAGTTCTCCCTTTGCTGAGAGTCATGAATGTATCTAATGGCTTTAGATGAGTACAGTCAAATGGCTTAGCAATTTGCCACAAATGCTCCAATTTTGGAAGACATTTTCCTTCAGGCAAGCCTGGAAAAAAATCTGTGCATTTGGAGCAACATGGGTCTTTTATCCACCTTATTTCCTGTTGTTGCCCATCCTGAGAGGCTGATGACAGCTGGAATGGTTGCATTTTTATAGAGCTAATGCATGGAGGATTGCAGAGCAATTTAAAGCCATTGAGAGCTCACAGGTAATGACTTGTTGATTTTATTTGCCAGCCTAGGCTTGTTTATATAACACCATATTGTAGGCCAGCCAGGCTTGACTGTTTCATTAAAAAAGAGCATTGGGCCTAAGCACCAATAATTGGAAAAGGAACTGTTATGTAAAATAGGCCTAATGCCAGATTTGTCATCTCGCAGGGAGCTCTGCAAAATGCTGGCACCTGAAGTTGTGCAGCTCCACAGTAAAGTCAGGACTTGGTTTTTGGAGCGTGTGACTTGAGACTTGATGAATGGATTGGCTTTGTGACCACTGTGCCTCAAGTGGGCACAATAACGATCATCGTGTATTAGAGACTTTGCATTTAGATACCTGCCTCTCAATCTGGGCATCTCCAGACACTTGGGAGACATCAGCAAGAGGATAGTTATTTTTTTTGTTTGTTTTGTTTTTGATGAATTAGGGGGTTTATGCACAGTCCTGTTCGATGCACTGATAGGATTGGGACTATGTCACTGGATCTAGCTGATCCCTAGGTCATGCTGTCTCTGCTCTGCATGGCCCCACTGTAGTATTTTTAAAAGTGAACAGAATGCATGAAAATGATTTGGGAAGCTTAGAGTTCCTTCCCAATCCTCTGTGATAAAATGAAGCAAAGTAAAACACTGATACCATGATAAATGAGCTTCCTGACATTATTTTTATAGACCTTGTGAAAGTAATTTCCTGATAAAGTCTGCAGATAAAACACAGTAGAGGAGTCTGACTTGTGATGTGTCAGGCAGAAATGGACTGACAGCAAGTGAAGCCTGCAGCTCCTTTGGGGTCCTGAAGCCTCATTATTTACATTTAGAAAAGAGAGGACTGGGGCATTTAAAAAAAATGTTATTTGTGAGTTTTGCTGGATTTAATGTGAAAGTGCTGCCTGTGGATGGATGTGCCAGAAATGGCCAGTTGGCCTCCAGCACAGATTGGGGCTGTCTTGCGTTCAGCTCCTGATCTCTGCTCTCCTCTTTTCATTTTCTTTTACATCCCAGCTGGAAGCAGCAGGGCCAGTGACTCTGTGGTGGAATGGCACGTGGTGGTGTGGGTCGCAATCTCATGTCTAGTCTGCTAGCACTGCACCAAAATGGGCAATGAGAAGAATAGGAGGCATTCTTGCATCCGTAACTAATGTTTGTAATGCTGACATGACAAACTTTGTTGGCAAATTCTGGAGAACATATTGTCAGCATTGCTTCTTGCAAGGGCTGGAGTTTATGTACTTATACTTTAAAAATCCCTTGGAGAGCTTTTTGGGAAGGAGACATTTTCACAGAGGACTGGAAGAAAAGGAGATACTGTCTAGACTCGCCAAAATAGGTTAGAGCTAAAAGCGGGAATGAGAAATGTGAAAATACTAGGACCCTCGAGGGCTGAGGGAAACTTCTAGTGCCCTGAAGTGGAACAGCTGAGAAGACAGAGGTCAGAGCTCTATGGAGATGTCCTGTCCTAGTCAAATGTCCTGACTTGAAGATGTCCTTGGATTTTGAGAGCTCCTTCTCACACCGTAGAGCAGATGGGTGCAGCAACGAGGAGAAAATAGTCAAGAATAAGCAAGAAGAGAGCCTTCAAAAGCCTACATTTGTTCAAACTCTGGCTCACTATGAGGGCACATTCACCTGGCAGCACGTGGAAGGCATTTTAGTTATGGCTTTTTGCCTTTTGTTTGTGACATCAAATGTTCCCTCTTCTCTGTAGAAATACAGTTAAGTAGCTTAAATCCCTAAAACTTTTTCTGTGGAGAGCTAGTCTAGCTTCCTGGACTTCAGGGACATTTGGTTACTGACTCCTAACAGGCCTGGAATTGGTTCAGTTTGGGGTAGAAAGTTGCTCAGGCACAAGAGAAATTTTAATCCTGGGATAAGTGCTCTCTTCCCTGCCTCTGCCCATCTGCTTGTGGGCTACTGTGCTTTATTTTGGAGGCTCATCTCTTGAAACCTGTGGATCTGATGCTTGTCTAAAACATTGACTCCTCAGAGCTGTAGATTATTAAGGCTGAAGGATTGCCCCACTCATGCAAGTTGCCTGTTCGATACAGGTGAGGAAAACTCTTAGTAATTTTTGCAGCAAGCTGCTGTCTTGTGGCTAAACTGGCACTTATCTTTCATTTCAAAAAATGAGCAAACCTTTTCTGGTTTGACTCTTCCAAATGACCCAGCTTCTGTCATGCCTGAAAGTTCTTATGATGGTTGCAAGAAATAAAAGCCAAATCTCCTTTACTTGGTGATTTTTTGCCTCTTTTCAGATTGTAATCATGGGCCTGCATTGCTACCTCCTGTGAGCAGGAGAGTCATAAGAGTACCCACCTTGTCACTGGAGTAAATGCTGATTTATGGCTTTGTATTTAAGAAGGTTAATTGAGTTTATGGCAAGGAATTAGACCTTAGTCTTGATACAGCGATGTGAAAAGTATTTAACAGTGGTGATGGCTCAATGCCTCTCTTTGAACTCCCAGACAGATCTTTCCCTTCTGCCATCTCTGTCTCAAAAACTCTCCTCTGATATACCTTTTTTCCCCTTGTATCAATGAGTTTGGCTCCATGGGTAGGAAATAAAACCTATTTCTTCCCCTTTTAATAATGAGAGATTCCCATTGCACAATATAATTTTCTGGTTCTGGAGACCTGTAGCAATAATTGCAATAAATTAACCCTGCCGTTTTCTTCATAAAACTGTCTGGGGAGGTTTCTTAATTCAGTTTGTCATGAGTCACTTTAATTACATCATGACCGCATTGATGAATGTTTGGGCAGGTAAGGGTCTCGCCGAGTTTGCCTGATAAATGCTTATTGTAAAGGGCTCATTGCTAGACTGTAAATATTTTTGCTCTGGGGTTGAAACCAAGGTTTGCAAGATTGCTTTCATTTTGTTTCCAGGCAATCGGATTTGACTGTTTTTTTTTTCTCCTCTGTAAGTGAAAGAAGATTTATTTTTAATTACTGTGTGTGTTTCTGATGCTCTGAGGTCTCTGCTCTGCACGGGGAGTAGGTAACAGAAAGCTCCTTCTTTATGGAGCAGGACTGGGGCAATGAGGCAAAGATAAGAGCAAGGTGCAAAGAGGCAGCCACGGTCTGGGGAGCAATGTTGGGTTTTTGCATGGAGGTCCTTGTGTAATTGCCCTTCCCGGAGGGCCCCTGTTTTTATCGCTGCTCTCCATCCTTACTATTACAACTCTTACTTCCTTTGGCTGTGTGGTAGTTTGCTTTTTCTTTCTTTCTTTCATTATTATTATTTTTTTTCCTCCTCTGTTGAGCAGATGATGGCTCGAGCATTGAGGACACAGACTTCAACTGGGATGAATTCCTGGAGGAAACCGGGGCCAATGCTGCTCCCCACACCTCATTCAAACACGTACGTGCTTGGTCGGTGCTTTGGGAGCTCCATGCGTGGTATTCCTCCTCATTTCCACGGAGGTCCTGTGCACAAACCGAAGTGGGGGCTGACTGTTTCAGGGAGATGTGGAGAAGTTGGTCCTCTGTGCTTCTCTGATGGCTTCATCCCAAAACCTGTTATAACCGCTTTTTGGCATCGAATGCTTGATAGTCCCAGCTGTATGGAGCTTTCACACAGGAGCATCCTATTCTCCAGAGCTGCTCTCTAGATGCATGATTTAGTCCTTAGCAGGGTCACTCTGCACTAGGGTCCAGCATTGTCCGTAGGGAAACTCTCTCAGCCTGCTGCTCAGAAATGCTCTTGGGAGTGTGGAAACCAAGTATTTGACACATGATACCATTCCTGGGTAAACATGGCTTTTGGCAGGGAAGTTGTTGGATTAAGGATCACAACCAGCAATCAGCTACCCCAAATCTGCTCTTTACAGGCAGTGTCATTGTGC